GTTTAGTAGCCATGTAGAGAAATTATCAACTAGCTGTTTTCATCACGGAAAGCACAGAAGCTCTTGTGCTGGTGAAGTACTATAACCTACCAGTATCGTATAAGATGAATTATGAAGTGAGATATACAGAGACAAAGGGGACTTTTAAAAAAGAAAAAAGCTGATTATCCTAGGAGGGTGTTCGTGGAAGGAATATGACTGAGACGCTGCTAAGCTTAATGTTTTTCTTAACATTTCAGATAGCTATTCTTTGTTGTCAACTTGACTACATCTGAAATTAACCAAACCCCAAATGGCAAGGTACACTTGTGAGGGATTTTTAAAAATTAAATATGGGAAGATCCACTTTTAATCCAAATCTTTTAAGGCAGGAGGATGCACCTTTAATCTGGGCCACATCTTCTGATGGCAGCCTATATAAAGGACACAGGAGAAGGGAACTTGTTCTCTATGCCTGCTTACTCTCACTGGCAAGTCCATTCTTTCACTGGAAGTAGAGTCTGCTTCTTTAGGATTCTGGCATATACTAAAGCCTAGAAACATACAGCCTGTGTACTGAACAAGTCCTGGATTCTTTGATCTTCCACTGGGAGACAGCCATTGTTGAAGTACCTGGTCCACAGCTCGGAAGCCGTACTCACACATCCTAGATCCAGCCCAGAGACTTGCTAGAGGAGTGAGCATACACATGCCATACTATCGTCAGCTGCAGCATGGTAAAGCTCCCTCAGTGTACATGCTAGAGAAGAACAAAGATTAGCTTATGTTTATTTAGAGCTTGAAGATTTTTAAAAATAGTTTTGAAATATAATTGTTTGTTTTCTAAATAGAATGCCCTTGATTAACTCTTCGACCACATACATTATTGGCTCTGATCTAATAAACAAGCTGGTCACCCTTAAGTTTTCTGTGTACCTCTTTATGACCACAACCAAGTTCATATGTCCATTCTGTGAAAAAAGTTAGTGCCAGGAAGGTGAAGCATCTGGTCACATTGTGTCTGTAGTCAGAAAGAGGAGAGACAGTTGTGTTCACCCATGTCCTGGGATGCTCCTGCCCACGATTAGAGTGGGTTCCCACCTTGGCCTCATTGAGAGGCTCCAGCACGTGATTCCTCACAGGCGTGCCTAGAGACTAAGCTAACCTAACCTAATCCCTGACAGGTGTGCCTGCTAGTGCTTCAGATCCTGTCTAACTGACCATCACAACTGGCACCTGAACTTCCTTATCTGATAAATTTGTATCATCTAAATGCACCCCCCCTTTCTCTAAACTCCCTCTTTCAATCTTCCCTTCCTGAGAAATGTTTTTAGGGCAGGAGAAACAGACTCACATGTTCACAGTATTGTCTAATCAAGAATCAGTTTACTTGTTTTCTGGGTTTCTCTTACCCTTCCCCCTCAAAGCAACAAGACCAAGACCTGAGCCTGGGGCAACATAGATTGCCATCCCAAGAATTCTTCAGTCTTCTTCTTATCATGTGGGAAAGGGTATGGCACCCCCACCCAACACACAGATTCCTGAAGGAATTCGATGCTACCCCGGTTAACCAGCCCGTGAGGCTCTGACAGGAAGGGCTGGCTTGTTTAAAGGAGCTAAAGGAGGAAGCATTGATGCAGAAGAAAAACATAGTTTATCTGGATGGCACAACCAGTGAGACTGGCTTATAAGTGTTCTATTAAAAGCCACCCCGCCAGGCAGTGGTGGCGCACACCTTTAATCCCAGCACTTGGGAGGCAGAGGCAGGAGGATTTCTGAGTTCAAGGGTCTACAGAGTGAGTTCCAGGACAGCCAGGGCTACACAGAAACCCTGTCTCGAAAAAACAAAAAACAAACAAACAAAAAAAGCCACTCCCAATTGTGGACCAATGCTAGCCAGCTAAGAAATCCCCAAGCCCACCTTTATATGTCTTCCCAAGGTGAGGACATGGCTCAGTGGGTAAAGGTACTTGCCACCAAGCCTGATGGATGTCCTGTATTCAATTCCTGGGATTTGTAGAAGGAGAGAACAGGCTCCTACAAATTGTTCTCTGATCTCCACACATACACAGGTTGGAGGTGGGGTGTATCTTCTCTAAGGGTAAGGGTAAGGGTAAGGGTAAGGGTAAGGGTAAGGGTAAGGGTAAGGGTAAGGGTAAGGGTAAGGGTAAGGGTAAGGGTAAGGGTAAGGGTGTAGCTCAGTAGAGGAGAGAGTGGGGGAGGGAGGAAGGGAGAGGGAGAGGGAGAGGGAGAGGGAGAGGGAGAGGGAGAGGGAGAGAGAGAGAGAGAGAGAGCGCGCAAGTAAGCACAGGACCTGTATAAGTCTTCCACTATTAGTCCGATGACTTGCCTCTCTTCAGAATAAAAATGTGTAGTGAGATGTCCACCCTTCTTTTCCCCCTCCTTCCCCCTCCCTTTTTTTTAAAAACCAAGATAGGGTTTTCCTGTGTAGATCTATCCCGGAGTCAAGTGTAATTGATGAAATAATAATCTCTCTGAATACAACGAGCTCAGGATACCTGTCTTGCTCACTCCTGAAACCTCTCCGTTAAGCTGAGTTCTTTTCCGGCACAAAGGGCTTTCATAACTAAGCATTGAGGGGACACTAACCCAACCTTAGAGTCCATGTGAAAGAATCAAGAAAGCTGAGACCTCAAGATTGGCATTCTACGTGAGACTCCACCCAGCAGCCCAGCCCTCTGCAGTCACTTGACATCTTTTCCACCAACAGAGATTGAAGGGCGTCAGCCAGAACCAGGAAGGGACCCTCTCTAGCTCATAATCTTTGCCCTTGGTAGAGATCCAGGAAATGTGAACTAAGACTCAGGTTGCCTGTTGGGAATTTGCAAGGTGTTCAGGACCTATTGCCCTGAAAAGGGACGGGGTTTTATTTTGTTATGTGTTTTATTGCCTGCATGATGTATGTCTGTGCCTAGTGACTTGGAGGACAGAAAAGGTACCAGATCCTCTGGAAGTGGAGTTACAGACAGTTGTGACCTACCACATGGATGCTGGAAATCAAAACCAGGTCCTCTAAAAGAGCAGCCAGTGCTCATAACTACTGAGCCATTCCTCCAGCCTCTAATTTGTATTTTCTAAAATTTTACATGAATGAAACTACACAGCTTCAGAGTGACTGTTCTAAGTGTGCAGAAGTTCACTGAGTTCTATATCAAGTTTGAATCTGATCAATCCTGTATACTTTTTATAGCAAGCTCTTGACAATAAAAAAGTAGTTCATACATTTTAATAAGATGAATTTAATAAAATGAACTTAACAAAAGATCCTTTCTTTAAAAAAATTGTATAATTTCCAATTACTTAGGAATTTTCCAAATATTATTTCCATACTTAGACCCATAAAAAGTTGGAAGCCAAATAAGCTGCACTTTGATTATGGTCTATCGTAGCAGATGCCTCTGATACACTTGCAAAGAACATATATGTTGTTGACAGGTGCCATGTTATTTTATGAGTGCCCAATAAGTCAAGTTCATGGTATTATTCAAATATTTATACTTTCAGAATTCTCATTTGCATGTCCTATTATGATGAAAATGCTGGCTGAAGTTAATATTTCTACTGTGTTTATGCTTTGTACATTTTGAAGCTTGATCATCAAGTACATAAATATTTAGGATTCCTATGACATCGGTGAGTATGTCCCTTTACCTTTATCATTGTAAAATGATCTCTTCATCCGTGGTAATAGTCTTTGTTCTGAAATTTGCCATTTACACAGAAATAAGCACTTCAGATATTTTTGGTTAATTTTAACATAGCATGTCTTTTCCAGTCCTTTCACCTTTCACCTTAGTTTCTATACAAGATTAGTGCTTTCAGGATGAACATGTATAAGGTCTTGCCTTAATTTCATAATATTGCTTTTATTAGAAATAACTGGAACATTTACAGTTAATGTGTTCCTCATCATAATCATATTTAAATATATTTTTCTACCTATTATGTATTCCTTTTTATCTGTTTTACACTGTACTTAGGATCAATTTAGTATTTTATGATTCTAACTTAGATAACTGAGAGATGAATGAATTTTTTCTTTTACTTTTGGTTTGCAGCATGCGTTTTAAAGTATAAATTAAAATGTCATATCAAACAACATGATATAGGAAGCTTGAAAGTTATGCTTCCATTTGTTCTCTTGCAACCTTAACTTTTTCCTTTATTCTTAAACCCTATATGATAGTTTCCATAATCTTCTCTTTCTTGAAAATAATATTTATTGCAGCCTTTATTATCTTTATATAATATATGTACGTACTTATATTTACACATATCTACAATATATTTTATTAACATATTATAACATGTAATTAACATTACATATAATAAATATATTTATATATGTACAAATAACATATGATAAATAAATATATAAACATTAATAAATATATAAATATACAATCATCTAATAAATAATAAATTTATATAATATATAATATTGTTTATATTATATAATAGTATATTATATAAAATACTATATATACTACAATATTTAATCTGCAGTCTTTTGTTTCTCTAGCATAGATTGAAGATAGTTGTAAAAGTATGCAAGACATTTATTTAAGATATTAAAGAATATTTTACATTTATTTAGTATTTAATACCTATATTTGCTTAATATTTATATTTCTTTATCAACATAAATTGTATGTTCTATTTTTAAATTTTTGATGCTAGCAAGTTACACGTATGCTTATGGTTAAGTACTACCTTTTTAGAAAACATTTTTTTTTTGATAAATATTATGTTGCCCTACACATGACTATTTAACTTAAAGGATTTAAATCTGTAGTGGTCAAGACATCCCTGTCCTGGCCTAGTGGTCAAGACATCCCTGTCCTGGCCTACTGGCTGCCATGTCCTCTGAATTTATAAATGGGCTTCTCTATTTGATATAAAGGTAAATGTGTTTCAAATAAAATACCAAAAAAAGAAAAGAAAAACAGTGCTTTTCTCCATCATGACTATTGATTTTAAGGACACAAGATTTTTCATATTGTTTTTCTAATGTGCTCTCTTTATTCAAAACCTTTATTTTAAGTAGTATTTGTAGGCGCTTCATGGGTTCCTGTAGCAAGTGGCTTATAGGTAAAAGTAAATCTATAATATTGGTCTCACACTAAAAGATGGAATTCATTCTATTAAAAGCTCTCCCATTGCAAGTCTGTGGTTGAAGTTACTCTTCAGCACTTGAGACACATCTTGCTCCAATTAATAATGTCATGCTACTCACTATAAAAAAACCCAAGGGCAGGCAAGAGAAGACAGGGTTATCGCTGCTGCCGCCACCGCCATTTTCAGGATCCTTGGCTGTAACCCAACCCATTGACTTCATCACCGCTCTCTTCCATGTTGAAAAACGAATTTCACTCTCTGTGGCTTGGATTTGTGGTTCATATCGTTCCATCAAGATTGCAGACAAATCTTCGGGTTCAAGACTCCAAACATCTACCCCTTCTGCAGCTCCAGCTGCCATGGCAGCTCCCAGGGCCGTTGTTTCAGGCATAACTGACTTAACTACCGGAATGTGCAGAATATCTGCCTGTAGCTGCATAAGAATCCTGTTGTTGGTCATTCCTCCATCTACCTGCAAATGACTGAGTGGAATTCCACAGTCGCGATTCATGGCATCCAGAATCTCTCGGGTCTGGAAACAAACAGCTTCTAACGCAGCAAAGGCAATGTGGCATTTGTTGGTGAACTGAGTGAGACCACAGATTATCCCTCTTGCACTGGGTTCCCAGTAAGGTGCATACAACCCCGAAAAGGCTGGGACAAAGTAGCAGCCATAGGAAGTCCCTGCCTCTCTTGCAAGATCTTCAACTTCCGGTGAGGTCGTTATAATTTCGAAATTGTCTCTTAGCCAGCGAATAACAGCACCGGCTATAGCAACAGAACCTTCTAAAGCATAAAAAACTGGCTTATCTTTGCCTAGTTTGTAAGCCAATGTGGTCAGAAGGCCATGTTCAGAAAACACACATTTCTGGCCTGTATTACATAGTAAAAAACATCCTGTTCCGTATGTGTTTTTGGCTTGACCTTCGTGGAAGCACATTTGTCCCACTAAAGCAGCAGACTGATCTCCCAAACATCCAGATATTGGCACGCCTTCCAAGGGCCCTGATGTTATCAGGCCATAGATCTCAGAAGAACTGCATATGTTTGGGAGGATGCTCATTGGAATTTCAAAAAAGTCACAGAGTTCTTTATCCCATTCCAAAGAGTGGATGTTGAAAAGCATCGTTCTGCTTGCATTTGTTACATCGGTACAATGGACGCCTCCGTTGACTCCTCCGGTCATACACCAGATGAGCCACGAATCGATGGTTCCAAACAGGGCTCTGCCTTCATCGACAGCCTTTTGAATGTGTCTTAGGTTGTCCAGCATCCACCGCAGCTTCACAGCACTGAAGTAAGTGCTAAGCGGAAGGCCTGTCTTAGACTTGACAAAGTTGCTGTTTCCTGGAATTTTCTTACTGAGACTCTCCACAGTAGACTGGGTTCTGAGATCAAGCCACACTACGGCATTGTACAGAGGGTCTCCCGTGAGCTTGTCCCAGACCACAGTGGTTTCCCGCTGGTTACTCACGCCGATAGCTTTAATGTTGGAAATATCTATGTTCACCTCAGCAAGTTTATCGCAAGTTTTCGCTATGCATTCATAGACAGACTGAAGGATTTCCTTGGGGTCTTGCTCCACCCATCCTTCTTTTGGAAACTCCTGTGTCAGTTCCACCTTATGATTGCCAACTAGTTCTGCTGTTTTAGTATCGAAAACTAGAAAGCGAGTGGAGTTGGTTCCCTGGACCACCGCTCCCACCAACGGCCCCACAGCGGTTTGCTTAGAGGCTGCCATGAAGCTGGTCAGTGGACTGCAGCTCAGGGACGGTTTCCCTGGTGATGCCAGTTAAGAGGAGGCACAACAGCCAGTCAGGAACGCGGGAGTGCGCAGGCGCAGCTGCTAGCCCAACAGCTTCAGCTAACCTATTTCCCCCTCACCCAAGCCCCGCCCCTCACCTCTTCATACTATTTCCAGGGATTTATATGAAAATATTCAATATGCACTGAACTTTCCTGTGTGGGGCTCTGTATTTCTGTTTATTTTCCATTTCTACCTATGAGATATCCTTAACATTTGGTATTGAGAGCAGATATATGGAACATGAGTTCTTCCATCGTTTGAACATCTGAAAAGCATTTTGTCTTAACACTGAAAACTAATTCTTTTCGGGTATAGATTTCTAATTACCTTTCCCACTCTTTCCTTTTAAAAGCCATGGAGTTACTCCAACAACTTCATTTCCCATCTCAGGTATGTTTCTGTCATTCTTTAGCTTGCTTTACTCCGACTGCTTGTAGAGTTTTCGTTACTACTGGTTTTGTTGTTTGTTTATTTTTTTGTTTGTTTGTTTTTAAACGGGTATTTTCCCATCAGTTTTACCATGGCGTGGTGAATTGTGGGTTTTTTTTTTCTGTTTGATTTTCTTCCGTTCTGTTCTTGGTATTCATTGTGTCATATCTGCAGATTTACAGCTTCCGTCAAGTTAAAACAATTCTGGTTATTATTTCTTCCAATATTTTCTTTGTTTGCTCCTTTAAGATCTCAAACCTCACACACTGGGCATGTCTTACAAATCCACTCCTCCTACTCATCTTAATAATATTTTTCTGTCTGCATTTAAATTTATGGTTTACAATCACTCTGTCTTCTAGTCAGCTGATCTCCAATATCTAAATCTCCAGTTAATTCATCTGTGGTATTTTTCCACTTCCAGGGTAGTTTTCAGTCCTAGAAGTTCAATTTGAGTACTTAAAAATATCTACCAAACTTTTCTTTAACATGTGGGATATGGTGAGAATAGCTTTTGATTTCCTTTTCTGCCAAAACTACCACCTGTGTCAGTTTCTGTCTGACTTTGTCTTATTGATTGTCTTATTATAGCTTGTATTTCCATGCTCTAGTGTATGTCTGATAAATTTTAATTGCATGCTAGGTGCTGTAGATTTGCTTACCTGGCTGCTGGACCCACTTGCATCCCTGTCAGTCTTCTGGAACTCTCTTCTGAGATGTATATAGGTGACTTGGAAACAGTCTTCTTGGAAACTTCTTTCTAGTTTTACTTTAAATTTGAAAAAAAAAATTTGGTGTCTTCATACATATAATGTGTTTAGATCACTTCTTTCTAGTCGCACCCTCTTCTTTCCAACTTCATGTTGTCTTCTTAAAGGCCCTTGAGTCTGAGTCATCCTGCTTCTGTGTTCATGGATAGGTTCATCTCCTGGACCACGAACACCTTATCTCAGGCCATATTCATAAAGAGAATCCTTCTTCCTCTCCCATAAGCCATCAGTTGACAATACCTCCTAAGCTAGGTGTAAGGCCACATGAGCTCCTCCCTAGCACTGACTTTAGTCACAGGATATGGAGAAGTCAAGATAGAAATAACCTGGGAATGTCCTCCCTGTTCGTTATCTTTCATAGACTAGAAAGGACCTACACAGTTCTAGGGTTTGGGGATGGGGCAGTATCGAGCGTCTTAACCTGCTGTGAGCTTTGCAAGCTAATGTAAGGACACATCTGGGAAGATATGAGCATTAGTGGTGCAAAGATGGCGTACATATTGTGGCGGCAGCCAACAGCTTTTGAATTGGATTTAAGTCCCACCCCACAGGATGTAACTTGTCCCTGTAACTATAAATCTTCCCAAGAAGCCATGGCCCACATCATAGTCTCTAGGAAGAACACACTATTATTACTCTGCTAAATGGGCTTAAGCATCGAACTACCTTCTGAAGTCATTGCTCTACACATAGATCAGTGTAGATCTCATGCCTCATCAGGGAAACCACTTTTGGCAGTGGATAGTGATTTATACAGGGATTCCAACCTGCTGTTAGTACAGAGAAAAATTGAGAGTGGAGTGCTCATCACTCTGTGTGTCTCTCATGTGTGTCTCTCAAAGCTCAGAAAACATCATAGGACAGGGAACAGAGAAGAATCACCCCAAACAGTATATTCGGAACACAGCAGGGCTGTTGTATGCATAAACTCACAGCAGTGGGGGTTACCCTTCTAGAGATGCAAATTGACAAGTTCAAGTCCATTGCATTCCAACTTTACTTCTAAAAATTGTTGGAAGAAATACAGGTCATGCTCAGTCTATGAGTAATTATTTTCCTTGGTATATGTATATGTATACGTATACGTATATGTATACGTATACATATATGTATATGTATGCATACATATAATTTTCATACTTTAAGCAAATGACGTTTCATGGCTGGTGGGAACAGTCTTAGCTCCCAGTCCTGAATTCATATCAGATCCTTTTGTTACTTCTTCTGTGTGTTTCTCAGCCTCAGGCATTTTCTTCATAAAGGAGCATGGATCAGTACTGAGCTGTAATCTCTGGGTGCTCTCTGAAGCACATAGTTTTTCCCTGGCACAGTGCTAATTTCCTTTGTGTGCCCTGCACTGGTTACCTTCCTTAGTTCTTGGTATTCACTTCCACTGCCCCTTGCCTGGGTGACATATCCCTATGCTGAGGCTCAAAACAAGGCAGTGAGCTAGTGGTGCCCAAACCATTGCTTCTCACTCTTAAGAATCACTTTTCATGCCCTGGCATTTATCATTTTATGCACAACTGTCATGAATTTTATAAATTATTTCCTATATTTTTTGTTTACCTTTTGGTTGTTTCATGTGAGGAGGTAGGGCAGTCTGTTCTATTCCATGTTGGCCAGAGAAAAAATTCACTTAATGAAAACTTAAAATTTTCTACTATTTGTGAAGTTGGTGATTGTAAAGTACTTAATTACCAGTTAAAATTCATTTAATAGCCAATAAGTTAAAGGCAGCAATTTCTACATTAGCACATACATTACATCTGAGTTAGCTTAATGAAGAGACTCATTTATTCCTAATGGAACCAAACAGAACAACGCAGAAAATAACAAAATGTATTGTGATACTGTTATTTCACTCTATTAACTGGATCTTATTTCCCATTTAAGCAAACTCTTCAGGAACTATAAAGCGGGGCAATGAAAGGCAGCTGCAGGTTGAATGGTAAGAGACAGGAAGGACAAGGAGCGACAGGAAGGACAAGGAGCAGCGCACATTCTCTTGATCATGTCTCCAGTCACTTTTTAAAAAGTCGATCAGGGCCACTTGCCAGCTTGTCCTACTATATCTTCCTGGATTTTCATGCAGCATATTATGTAAACTGCTTTTAATTTTTCTCTCCATATATTTACCAGTAGAAAGGCATTTTATGTCCAAAATAACATATACAATAAAATGATTTAATCTTCTGTATATACATTTTTCCAAACACACCAAAATGTGCAAACATATGTTCTTATCTACCTTAGTTATTAAGTATTAGACTTACTTACAAATTTTCTCTTTAAGGTAAGTACTTAACCATAAAATCTTCTGATAATAAAAAAATGGATTATGCAGTGCCACTGATGGCAAGTTATAGTCATTAAATCATTAGATAAACCTCACGATTCAGTTTAGGAAGTTGGCTAACTGACTTAGTTTCTTTAATGAAAGCTGACAAACCCAAAGTTGAAAAGAATGTTTACAGACAACTGTACCAAAAAGTAAAACGTTTAAGGCTTCTCAGGTGTTCAGATTGCAGTCACATAATATTGTTCTCAGCCATATCCCCTTCTTTGATTAAAGTCTTTATTGATATCGACACTACAAAGTAGAATTCATCCGTTCATTCAATAATTTATCCAGTATGTTCTGAGGGTGGCTGTGGTGGTTTGAACAGATATGGCATGTATTTAAATTCTCAGCCCATAGGGAGTGATACTATTAGGAGATGTAGGTGTGGCCTTCCTGGAGGAAGCGTGTCACTGTGTAGTTTGGCTTTGAGGTTTCATTTATGTTCAAGCTATGCACAGTGTGGTATATAGTTTCCTGCTGCCTGCGGATCAAGGTGTAAAACCCTCAGCTCCTCCAGCACCGTATCTGCCTGCAGGTTGCCATGCTTTCTGCCATGATGATAACTGACCAAAACTCTGAAACAGTAAATCAAGCCCAAATTAAAGGTTCTCTTTTTAAAGAGTTGCAGTGATCATGGTGTCTCTTCACGATAGTTGTTATATGTGAGTCTTATTGTAGGCAATAATTCAGTGATACTTAAAAACATTCCCCTTTCTATAGTTTTAAGTTAGAACCATACCTGTTGAAGTAATTATTTAAAAATGGCCACTAGTCAAGCCAGCTATCTAAGTTGCAGTGGCTCTGCCTAGGCCACAGCTAGAAACGGCCAGCCAGAAACAACAGTCTTGCCACCCACGAGATATCAACGTGGGAGGTGGCTCTGCCAATCTTGCATGCTGTCTCTGCAAGACTGGGCATTGCCCAGACCATCCCACTATCCATGCTGGCCCAGTAGGAAAATGAGACTCTAATGCTTAAATTATCCAAACGCTTTATATATTTGGTAATGATCAGTAACAAGATGCCCATACAATCAGAAGTGTAACCCAGTGCCCAACCCAACCTAGATATACCAACTACCTTTGACTGCTAGAGACATGTGCACATCTGTCTCCATGTTCCTCTCTCTCTCTCTCTCTCTCTCTCTCTCTCTCTCTCTCTCGCTCTCGCTCTCTCCCTCTCTCCCTCTCTCCCTCTCTCGCTCTCTCTCTCTCGCTGTCTCTCTCGCTCTCTCTCTCTCTCGCTGTCTCTCTCGCTCTCTCTCTCTCGCTCTCTCGCTCTCACTCTTGCTCTCGCTCTCTCTCGTCTCTCTGGTCTCCTAGCTCCTCTTTTTCCTTCTCCTCACTCCTCCTCTTCCTCTCCTTATTCCTCCCACCTTAGCTCCTCCTACACATACCAATTAAATTAACTTGTCTTTAATGTTGCATTTTCAGTGCATACCCT